AGGGAAAGAGCACTGCAGCTGGTCCCAGTGCCATTGCTAATGGATTTGTGTGCCATCTTTGGCATCTTGCTCAGATTATCAACCCCTTGAAGAAAAAGGATTCTGCCTGGCCCTGCCAAGACAGTGAAGGGATCAGGGTCAGCTGCCTTCTGGGTGCTCTAGGCCCCTGAAGTCTACAGCTCAGTATTACCTATCACAGGATGACTTCCATGCTTTTGGAAATTTGGTTGCTCCCTGAAGTCACAAGGAAAAATCTGCCCCTGTTTAATCACCCATTCCAGTTGGCCAGCTGGCATCATCAGAAGTTCTGTTCTTAGGGTCCCCTGGCAGCCAGTTTGGCAAGAGCGGGCTGGGAAGAATAGTCATTTGATTAGTTTCCTGTCTGCCAGAAGCTCTGAGCTGCAGGAAATCCACACGGATGCAATAAGTCGACATGGTTTCATTCATCGAGATCCAGAGGGAGGACACACTCCTTCCAAAGACAGATAGGGTCCGCATGCCTAATCTAGCCAGTCGGGTAGGTTTCCCACTTCTCCACACTGTTTAAAGTATAATTAAATGTCGGGGCTGCCTCACGCATCTCCTTCTGTGTTCGTATAATGCTTGTTTCCTCAGGGCTCCTGGGGACTGAAGATTTGTAAAGGAACAAAACAGACCAAAACACATATGGAAATTATTCATATTTATGAGTGAAAAACGAGTAAGACAACAAACTGATGAGACTTCATTACCAAGACAGGAATCTGATGTGAGGCTACGGGAATGGCAGAACAGTGTTCAGACCAAAGTGAGTGAGGGCACAAGGCGCCTGCTCTGCATGACAGGACATGCCAGACCACACCTTGACTCTTGTGCTGAGGTTTTGGTGCCCGTCTGTAGGAGTGACGAGGAGTGAAGGGACAGCTGATGAGAAATGGCTGAAAGAAGTGGGAATGCTTAACTGGAGGAGGAGAAGGTTCATGGGGAAATGACAGTTGTCTTTAAAAAACCGAAGGGGCCCTTGTCAGTGTGGCTCAGATGGTTAAGTGTGGTCCCATGCACCAACAGGTCACTGGTTTGATTCCCAGTTGGGGCACATGCCCAGCTTGCAGGCCCAATCCTTAGTAGGGGGCATGCAGGAGGCAGCTGACCAATGTTTCTCTCTCTCTCTCCCTCTCCCTTCCTCACTCTAAAATCAATAAGAACATATTTTTTAAAAACTGAAGGGCTGGCCTGTGGGAGAGAGGGAGGGGACTCGAGGCAGAGTGGAGGAGTAGAAAGTATGGGTTATGGAACCAGGAACTTTTACTGAATTCATAGTTCTGCAATTTACTCAGCCTGCTCTCTTTGGTAAGTCAATCTCCCTGAGCCTCAGTTTCTTCACCAGTGCAGTGGAGAGGATAATAACTTCCTCACCGTGCTATTGTGAGGATTCAATGAGAGGAGGTCTATAAAAGAGTGCTTGAAGCCCTGGCCACCATGGTTCAGTTGGTTGGAGCATCATCCCGAACACTGAAAGGTGGTTGGTTCGATTACAGGTCAGGACACCTGCCTAGGTTTTGGGTTCAATCCCTGGCCCAGTCTGGGCACATGTGGGAGGCAACCGATGTTTCTCTCTCACTTAGGTGTTTCCATCTCTCTCTTTCCCTTCCCATCTCTCTAAAAATCAATGAAAATGTCCTCCAGTGAGGATTAAAATAAAGAGTACGGATGGGATTTTCTGATGAATTGAATGTGGAGTGCGAGATGACCCCAAGGTTTTGGCCTGAGTGACTGAAAGCATGAAGTCACCATTTCTGAAATGAGGGAGATTGTGGGCAGAGCAGATTTGGGAGGAAGGCATCTGGGATTTGGTGTTAAGCCTGCTAAATCTGACGAGGCAATTAGACATCCAGGTGGGGATGTCAAGGAGGCCATTGGGTATACACATGTGGGTTTAAGACAGAGGTGCTGGCTGGAGATATGAATGTGGGAGTTGTCTAGTATACAGGGACAAGAGCCATGCCCAGGATTTCAAGCCACAGGTCTGGATGAGGCCACTAAGAAACACTAGGAAAGAAAAGAGATCTGAGGACACAACCCTGGGGCATTCCACCATTTAGGAGTTGGGAGCTGAGGAGAAACCAAGGAGACCAAGAACCAGTGAGGTAGGAGAAAAGCCAAGAGAGTGTGGTGTTCTGGAGGAGAAGGGGGAGGTTAACTTTATCACTTATGCAGATGGGACAAGTCAGAGGAGGAGGGAAAAAATTGATCCTTGGATTCGGCAGCATGTAAACTGATGTAGAGAAAAACCTATTTTTTTCCTTCCTATGTAGGGAAAAACCCAGTTCTTCTCTACTGTGTGTTCCTTCCCTGTGTGTTGCCTTTACCTTTACAGAGAACACTCCCTTTCTGACGCTCTGGTTGCCAAATGTGTGGAGGTTTTCTGCCACTCCAACAAGCAATTCTGGGACACGAGCAGGCTGTTCAAAAATTTAACTCAATTCTCACACTGTCTACCCAGAAATAGCATCAGATCTCAAAGGTTAAGGGCTCAGTCCCACAAGACTGCCATCCCTCCCAGTTCAGACACCAGTTACAAATCCAGGTTATCACTCTTCCTTCTGACTACCTCAGAGGTTCCAACGACACCCTCCTTGGGTTGAATTAATTTGCTAGAGCGGCTCACAGAACTGAGGGAAACACTTATTTAGGTTTACCAGTTTATTAAAAGGTATGATAAAGGATACAGATGAACAACTAGACAAAGAGATACATAGGGCCAGGTCTGGGAGGGTCCTGAGTGAGGGAGCTTCTGTCTCCAAGGAGTTGGGGTGTGTCATCTGGTGTGGACGTGTTCACTAGCCTGGAAGCTCTCCAAACCCCCCACCATTGGGATTTTATGGAGACTTCTTCATATAGGCATGATCAATTATTAACTCCATTTCCAGCCCCTCTCTGGAGAATGAAGGGTGAAGCTGAAAATTTAGTTTCTAATCATGGTTTTGTCCTTCTGGTGATCAGCCCCCATCCAGAAGCCCTTGGGCAATTTGCAAAAACTGGGCCCTCTGCCTCATTGTATGCAAACAGATTTCCTCATTTGTTGAGGGGGGTGATAACAATGATAATACCTCCTTTTGAGGTTGCAGTGACAATTAGATGGGTCCTTTATTGCCTGTAAAAGCTTAGAACAATGTCTAACACATGGTAGGTCCTCAATAGGAGACAATTATTTTTACTCTTATTGATATCATATTTTATCTCATTGAATGGTTATTACAGCCCTGCAGGGGAGACTTAACAGAATGGGCTTTGGAGTCAGAAAGACCTGGTTTGAATCCCAGCTTGGAGAGTTAACTATGTGACTTTTGAAGGCACTGCACTGAGCCTCAGCTTCTTCATCTCTAAAGTGGGGGTCATATTAGCTACACCTGCCTCCCAGTAGTGTCCTCAGAATTGAAGTAGCTCTTCCAAAGACAGCATGTAGCACATGCCTGGCAAGCGGCAAGCCTCAGTGAGTGAGAGCTGGATTTAGTGTTGTTTTGTGATCCTGACTCGGCTTTGGCCTCCCTGACTGGCCTTGGGCTTCTTTTCTTCTTCCTGGAGCTTGTTTTCTTTATGGGTCATGCAGAGAGCAGTATCTGGCCCTCCCCTCCTGCAAATGGAGCCGCTCAGCCCCCTTACTCCCCTGGGCTCCTGCCTGACTGTCTGTGGCAAGTGCCCTGCAGGGCACCTGCTGGCCCTGCCCATCCTTTGCCCCCCCTCTTAGCATCTGGGTCCTGACTTTGGTGACTAAACATTGAATGTGACGTGTGCTTGTTACAACGTTGCTGAGATGGCACAAGTCTACCTACTTTGCTCTGCAGCCTCAGCTCTGGAGTGAAGAAGAGGCTGCAGCAAGAATCACTTTTGTGCCTCCCTCGCCATTTCCAGGCCCTTGAGTGACATTTCTCTGATCAGTGTACTATCACAACGGAGAGTTCATGTGCTGTTTTCTCCAGAGCCTGGACTGCCCTCCCACCCACTCCTGCCACTCAGCCCAGCTTGTCACTTCCCTCCTTCAACGGGCACCTCAAACTGCCATCCTGATCCAGCCTCAATTCGACAGCCACTGCCCCTGGGCGCTCTTCAATCTGCGGCCATTGCCCGTCCCTGCTCAGCTGCTCAGCAGCCACATGGGGAATTCGAGTGGTTCTCAAGGCGGCCCTTGACTGTGGCCTCTGTCCCCTCTCAGTGCCCTTGTCTTCTCTGGGGCAGAGGCACACAGCCTGAGCTTGTTGGACCCCATGTCCCTGCAGTGCCCTTCACAGGCCTCTTGGCTCCAAGTGGGTGCTCTCCATGAGCTTGGCTGCCTGCCCGCTGGCCCACTCTAAGACTGACTCTGGGAAAGGAGTCCTGCCAAGGGCTGGCCTGCATCACTGTTGTGAGAGAAGCAGCCAACACCTGCAATAGTGATCCTGGCTTCCACACTCATGAGTGGACATGCCTCCACCACTCCTTGCACTTTGAAAACTGGCTTAAGTGGGCAGCCAAGGAGAGAGGGAAAGACCTTATTGTGATTAGAGCTCTAGGCCTCTCTGAGTCTCTATTTCTCATCTGAAAAATGGACATGAAAGGAGTTACTTCATTACCTCATGGGCCTTTTGTTAGGATCAAATGAGATCACTGATGTGAACACTCTTGGTAAACATACTGCTGACAAGAGATACTACTGTTGCTGTGTGAGGTGTGGGTGCAGAATTTCAACTAAGACACAAAACACTGATTTTTTGGGAAAAAGATAAAATGTGTCAATTATTTCCCTTGGAAGAACTTTGCTTGAGCAAGTGTTCCCTCCTGTTCCTGCATCACTAACTCCTTTCCCCACCTACGGAGCACTGCCATCCCTATTGAAGCATGCTGTAATGTTTCCTCTCTTTAAGAAGACCACAACCTTCTTGATCCAATCTCCCCAAGTATCCACCACCCACTTCTGTGCTCTCCTTTGCAGCAAGACTCCCTGGAATTCAAGTTGTCTTTTCTGGCAGTCTCTACTTCCTTACCTCCCATTGTTTCTTGAACACATTCCAATCAAGTTCATATCCACCAAGCCTCGAAATCCACACTTGCCAAGGCAGGACTGACTACATAATTTGCAGGGCCCACTGCAAAGTGAAAATGGGTGGGGGGGGGCTTGTTCAAAAGTGTATTTGTTTCCTCGAGTTATTGTAACAAATTACCACAAACTGAGTGGCTTAAAAAGAACAGAAATTTATTCTCTCACAGTTCTGGAGGCTGGAAGTCTAAAGTCATGGGGTCATCAGGGTGGGTTCCTTCTGGAGGCTTTGAAAAGGAATCTGTTCCATGACTCTCTCCTAACTTCTCACGGCCACAGGCAATTCTTGGTTTATAGATGCAATCTGTGGGGGAGGAAAAATACATTTTCTTCTACTCTTTTAAGTCCTTCTGGCTGGTCTAATAATCAAGTTGACATGAGACAAGCTAGCAGGAGAAAATGACCAAATTTATTCCGTATGTATACACAGGGCTCCATAAGAATATGAAACCCTGGTGCTGGTCAAGTGGCTCAGTTGGCTGGAGTGTCCTCCCAATATGCCAGGCTCGTGGGTTTGATCCCTGGTTGGGGCACATACAGGAGGCAACCATTGAATGCATGGATGAATGGAGCAACAAAAGTCTCTCTCTCTCTCTCTCTCTCTCTCTCTCAAATCAGTGGATACGAATTTAAAAAAAAAGAATTAAAAAAAATAGTTTGAAGAATATGAGACCCTGGGACAAATTGGGCAATTAGGTCGTATATACCATCTTGAGCTAAGGAGAAAGGGGGGGTAGTGGTTTGGGACTTCAAAGGGCAGAAAGGCAATTCGCATGGAGGTGAGAAAGCAAATGTTTGGTAAATGAATGTTTGCTAGGCCATCTTTAACAATGGGACACAGAGGTGACTTTAATCAAACCAGCTTTGCTGGGTTGTTTCCTGTCTATCACACACTGGTTCATATTAAACGGTAGTTATTTACGAAGATAGTTTTCTTCCTGGAGCAGGTTCTCTATCTAAATTCTTTTATGCATTTAGGGGAAGGTCAAAGGTTCTTTTCTGAGTCTTTTGTTTCTTAAAAATAACCAGCTGAAAATAATATCCTCAAAAAGCATATTTTGGGGTGGCAAAACTCTGCTCCCCTCACATCACTCCTATCTCTGCTTCCATCTTCACATCACCTTCTCTTTGAGTCTTCTTGCACTCTTCTCTCATTGGGATACTTGTAATTGGAATTTGGGATCTATCCTAATCCAATACGATCTCATCTTAATATCTTTACCTTAATTACATCTTCAAAGACCCCTTTTACAAATAAGGTCACATTTTGTGTGGATATATTTTTAGGAGAAGGCTCATCATTCAACTCACTACAAAAAGTTATTTAAGAATTTTAAGCCCAGCCCGGCCAGTCTGGCTCAGCAGTTGAGCATCGACCTATGATCCAGGAGGTAGAGGTTTGATTCCTGTTCAGGGCGTATAACTGGGTTGCAGGCTTGATCTCCAGCAGGGGTCGTGCAGGAGGCAGCTGATCGATGATGTTTCTCTCTCATCACTGATGTTTCCATCTCTCTTTCTCTCTCTCCCTTCCTCTCTCTGAAATCAATAGAGATATATATGTGTGCGTGTATAAAAGTCATTTATTACACACACACACACACACACACACACACACACATATATATATATAT